ATCAATTTCTGTTCTTTTAAGCGTGTCATTAATACTGATCATATAACCTCCTTTCGGAATCAGAAAGTATAAACAAAAACCACAAAAATATTATAATGAGATTGACTTTTTTCACATGTATATTTTATTTTGTAAGTATATATAAAGCACAAGGGAAGGGCTTATTACTTGAATTCTAATTTACTTCCTCCAAATGTGTAGTGCTTGAAAAGAAAAATATATCTGTACCGAGTAGCTGCTTCAGGGAAAACTATTTTCTTTATTACTTGGGAACAATTAAAAAATATATTTGATCAGTGTTTATAAGACAATGTACTGCTAATTATTGTTCCATAGGATTAAATAAAAAAAAACCAATAATTTCCCTAGATTTCATTTAATTTTTTTCACAGAAGCTTACTTGGGTCAATGAGATTGATGATGAACAGAATAAAAAAAAAAAGAATTAAAAAAAAAAGAGCCATTGGCATTGATCAGTCAGTAAGGAGTATTCATTTAGGGATTTGAATCAGAGTGGTTATTTTGTTTGTATAATAAAATAAAAAAATGCTGTGCTCCAAAACTCAGAAAGGGATAAGAAGTTAATTTAATTTATTGCTGGTCCAGGTAACTAATTTTGAAGGCAGATACATGTATGTAGAGTTATCTCCCTTAGTTATCAATTTTTTTCATTGATAACAGCTGACATACATCATGTATGTAGTTCTCGAAATTGGCAAGCATGTAACATTTTCCCCAGCATTTCCTACCGAAATAACTTATCTGACAGATTCCATAAGACTGTACTTTCCCCAGACACATCTTGTAAATTTTACTTGTATTTCTCAAAAAATCTGCAGAATTGAACTTTTAAACATCATTTTATATATTCTCAGGTTTTTATTTATGACAATGCCTATTAAGGTAGATCAAGTGTCTTTTTCTGAACATCCATTTTGGTCATCTAACAAAAATACTTTTTTCTATTTAAAAACATTATACCAAGTATCATTCAACATGTTCAATGTACAACAGAAACATCTAAAACTTGAAATTCAAAGATTAAACTATTAAATAATTAAGGATGTACTTAGGTCAGATTTAAGAATTTTTGTCAGATGTTCGGACTCCTTGGTTTTTTTTACTACGATACAGGGTAAAATATTTTGCCCCATAACCATGATAACACCCATTTTTCTTTTCATATACATGTACATGATATAAGACTTCAATAGCTCATTTACCAAAATTTTAGCAGATTCTAGATTTCTCTTTTTTTATTTGAAACCCAAATAATACCAATGCAAATATAAGGTAAAAGTCTGATGTCAGCCTTTTCCTGTCATTTTAAAAAAAATAAATATCTGGAAAAGGAGCTCCATAACCTATCAATATTTTTAGCTTATTTTGTTCCTTAACTAATGCTCTTCTGACTTAAAGTATCAATTTTAAATTCTAGATTTTTAAAATTTCACCTAAGTATATCCTTAAGTGCCATAAAGTGTATTTAAAATGTTTAAAAAAAAATCCCTTTAAAATCAAGGGCAGATAATCATGATAATGATATTGAATTTGATAGGACAATTTATGTTTTTTAAACTTTTCCAAAAAAATTAAGTATCCCCTATATAACCCATATAAAATAACTGATTTCTTTAATTTCAATGTATTTTAACGAAAAAACAAGGGTCTGTGACCTACCGTTTTTATATTGAAATTTGAAAGTATATTAATGACCCAGAAGTTTAAGAAAATACTCTCTTTGAACATTTAGACACCGCAGCTACCTTAAGGGAATAAGCACTTATTAGTCTGTTGATAAGAGGGTCATACATGTGCATGTATATTTCGAGTTAGTGATTAGTTAATCAGTTGATTAATTACATATATATTTCAAGTGGTTGTTTTAAGTCAGCAGGGGTATAATTGGCTTCTTCTTTCTTCCAAATTTTTCTTTGTCAATTATTTTATAATGTATGCTTGTCTGTGGTGGTTGTCCTGTTCATGATGTCCAAATCGTGACCTTTATTTAACATGGGACTACAATTTAGATATTCATGTTCATGTACGCATACATACATTGAATACTCAGAGTTAAATTGTGAAATAGAATTAGACTTGACATTTTTTTTTATAAATTTACAAAAAAAAATTAGATTAAAATAAAAGTAGGAAAATATATAGCATGTTCAATTAACTTAATTTAAGCATATGGATTTAAATGACTCACTTTGTAAAGGTTTTTAAGATGGGACCTGACATATTAGGTACCAGGTATACATGGTATAAGCAAGGAAAAAGTTTAATATTCTGAATTTAGGCAAAATATTTTTTATTATTTTTCTCCATTATAATTGAAATCAAACGAAACATCAAGATAAAAAAATTTTGAACCAAAAAGAAGAGTTTCTTATTCTTATTCATGTTATTTTAAGCAGTATATTTATTTATATTTTTCATTAAATTAAAAATTAAATAAAAAAATTAAATATGCTATATTTAGGCACTGGCCAAAAATATGTATCAAAATGTTTTTTTTAACAATAAAATCAATCACCACTAATCATTTTACTTAAAAAAAACTTGACAGATTCAGGTGATGTACATGTAGAAACATTATTTGCATATTAAGTAAATTTCAGGAAGAGCATAAGGGGAGATTATTCAATCATTGAACATGTTGAAAAGAAAATTTAAATCTTACAAACTTACTTATACAAGTAAATGTTAACATTATTTACATCTTCATGTATACAAATATTACGTGTTATTATAAATTCATTATGAAGATATAACCCTGAATGTCAGCAGATGTTTATAATGTATATCTGTATCAATATAGAAATATGAAGATGTGGTAATACCGTATGATTGCCAATGAAACAACTGTCCACCAGAGTTCAAATGAAGAAGATGTAAGCAATTATAGGTCAGGATACTGCCTTCAACAATGAGAAAAAACCCATACCTTATAGTCATCTTTAAAAGGCCAGTGAAACAATTGAAAGTGTTCAAAGGAGAAAACTAACGGCCAAATTAATAACAATACAATTTACGAAAAACAAATACATCACAGACATGAACCATTGACAACAAAGAATTACAGGCTCCTGACTTGTTACAGGCACATAAAGAATGGACTACTAGAACCTCAGATTCCCATAAGGCTATACTTTTTAGTATATATATATATATATATATATATAACATGTATAATGCTAGTCAAATGCGTTTTGTTAAAATATACTTTTTCACTCTTTTGGTCTTTTGGAAAATGTTGTTTGTGCTGTATTTAGACTGCTCTACCAAGAAATTTGTTTTGCATGCACACGTATAAAAATTGCGGTATTTATCCAACGCAATCATAGGTTTGAACGTTGTTTTCAATTTAGACTTGTTTATATTTTTTCATTTGGGCTTGTATTATATTTGCCTTCGGGTGTATATGATCCATTCATCCTATTTTGACTCTTTAAAAATTCAAGTCTATTCTAAATTAAGGTAAATTATATGGCCTTCCAAATACCGTTTCGATTCCTAACATCACTGAAGAGACATTAATTGTCGAAATCCGGATATGGTGTACAAAAACCTTTGCACCTTTTGTTTGCGGTATACCATCTTTTCCGCAAGTTTATTGTTTTCTGTTTAGTATTAAATTTATAATTTAGATCCATTTATTACATCGGTGATCCGTTTATTTGGCCAATGCCAATGGCAGTCAGCAGGGTTTAAGAACATTTGTTGTTCGACCTGTTAGTCAAATGCGTTTTGTTAAAATATACTTTTTCACTTTTTTGGTCTTTTGGAAAATGTTGTTTGTGCTGTATTTAGACCCCTCTAACAAGAAATTTGTTTTGCATGCACACGTATAAAAATTGCGGTTTTTATCCAACGCAATCATAGGTTTGAACCAGTTGGTTTGAACGTGGTTTTCATATATATATATATATATATATATATATATAAACAAGTCTAAATATAAATATGTAAAAATACAGCCATGTTTCGTATTACACATTATTTAATGACATGACATCTGCAAATGTTTATTTTTTTATTTAATAGGAAATATTGTGTTGACATATTGAGAACAGATGTGGATATGTGATTCAGAAGCAATGACAGAATATTTAGGAACAATTTTCGCCTTACTGTCCTTTCTTGCACTGTCAGCTTGTAGGGTACCAGGTAAGGTTCATCTATCTTTCTAACTGACATGTATGGTACCATGTAAAGTTAAGCTACTGCACTTACTTGTGGGGTACCAGGTAAAGTTCAGCCATTTCATTCAACAAGAAGTACAAAATGTTATTAAAGAATAAACTGTTGAAACAGAGATGTGTCTCGCCTCTTTGTAATTTGATAGTAAAATGCAAATGTTGAATTTAAAATAGCAATACTTTAACATGTAAAATATGCAAAATATTCAAAGTCATTGAACCATGACTTAAGATTCAGGGACTAATAATTTCCCTGGAAATAAGATATGCCAATGCTAATACAATTGCATTTCTCCAAGTAGTTCCCCTTAACCTGACCTAATCAAAAACTTTACTATGTTAACATGTTAAACTTGTCAAAAATTTCAAAGTTATTAGACCATGACTTAGGGGAAAGGGCCAAGTTCCTGGCCAACTTCTCTTAATCTCCATGGAAATGAGATGTGCCAATACATGTACTTATACAACTGCATACCAAATATCATAGACTTATCATAAGCGGTTCCCCTTAAACTGACCTAATCACAAACTTTAACATGTAAACTATGAAAAAATTTCAAAGTCAATAGACCATGAATGAGGGGCGGGGACCAAATAATCTCCATGGAAATAAGATATGCCAATACTTATAAAATTGCATACCAAATATCATAGACTTAGCATCAATGTTTTCCCTTAAACTGACCTAATCATGTAAACTATGAAAAAATTTCAAAAGTCAATAGACCATGACTGAGGGGATGGGGCCAAATATTTCACATCCCAAGGGTAACTTTGTGAAGATTATATTACATACCCCAAAGGTAACATTGGGAAAATTATATTACATATCCCAAAGGTAACATTGTGAGAATTATATTACACATGTACATCACAAAGGTAACATTGTGAAAATTATATTACACATCACAAAGGTAACATTGTGAAATTTATATTACATACCGGTATCCCAAAGGTAACATTGGGAAAATTATATTACAGATCCCAAAGGTAACATTGGGAAAATTATATTACACATCCCAAAGGTAACATTGGGAAAATTATATTATATATCGCAAAGGTAACATTGGGAAAATTATATTGTATATCCCAAAGGTAACATTGGGAAAATTATATTACACATCACAAAGGTAACATTGGGAAAATTACATTACACATCACAAAGGTAACTTTGTGAAAATTGTATTACACATCACAAAGGTATTATTTGGGAAATATGATGGTCTGACACCAAAGTTATGTTACAAAAGAGAGGCAAAAGATACCACAAGAATATTCAAACTCATAAGTTGAAAACAAACTGACAATGCCACGGCAAAACACAAAAAACATTCAAAAGACAAACAACATTACACAAAACACATCGTAGAAAACTAAAGACTGAGCAGCACGAACCCCGCCAAAAACCAGGGTGATTTCAGGTGCTCCAGAAGGGTAAGCAGATCCTACTCCACATGTGGCATCTGTCATGCACTGGCATTGTGATCTTTCAGTGCACAAAACACATAATCAATTATAGTACAGATTTCATGTACTTATAGCTTAACAAAAAAATTGGATGGCATGACAATTGTTATTAAACCACTGGAATTTTATTGAAGAAATATACAAAATACATGAAATGTTTTAGTTACAATAATTATATACAATATGTATTTATAGACATCTTATTTCACTAAATTGAATTTTTCATTGTAGTTGTGACATTAAGGACGAAAGAAAATTGTATGACCTACATTCTGGTCCACAATGTCCTACAGATTGAATGGTTTGCGGACATGCTGTTAAACTGTACTGTAGAAGTGGATACTATCAAAACATTATCAGCATATGAATACTTGTGTATACAGCCTAAAACTTTGTATTTTCCAAAATGTATTGCTAAGGTTACAGTTTATGAGAAGTTCACCTCAAATCCACCAGTCATGGTAGGTATTATAATGGTTTATATGTTGCATTTGAACTGAAATCATTAAAGACTGAATACACAAAAATGTATATACGATGGATAATAATACTTTGAATAAAAGTATCTGTGGTCCTTACATCAAAGAGACAGTAACCCAAATAATACTTAAGGATGTTCTTAGGTCAGGTTTAGGAATTTTTGTCAGATGTTCGGATTCCTTGGTTTTTTTCCTACGATACAGGGTAAAATATTTTGCCCCATAACACCCATTTTTCTTTTCACATAAGACTTCAATAGCTTATAAAAGGTCATTTACCAAAATTTAAGCAGATTTTAGATTTCTTTTCTTTCGATTTGAGACCCAAATAATACCAATGCAAATACAAGGTAAAAGTCCGAGTCAGCCTTTTCCCGCCATTTTTTAAAACTCAAATATCTCAAAAAGGAGCTCCAGAACCTATCAATATTTTTAGCTTTTTTTGTTCCTTAAGTTATGCTCTTCCAAACTATAGTATCAATTTTAACTTCTAGATTTTTTTAATTTCACCTAAGAACATCCTTAAATCCAAAAGACATCTAGTTGTCAACAATATAGGACAGAAAGGTACAGGACAAAGATCACAGATAAAAAGCAGTTCTTATAAAAGTCACAGGACAAAACGTCACAATTCAGTCTTCAGATTTTTTTTTTTTTATAAACAATGATAACTAAAAGACCTATTTTCAAAAATAGTTTTTGTTTTTATCCTGAATAATTATACATGATACAACTTTGTAAACAAATAATGTTAAATGTTTGATAATGATGAAATTAATGATAAGAAAACAAGTTGTACAAGTGTCTTGTTTAATTCATGAAAGTGCCTGCATCAAGTTACATATACATGTGTCCTTTCAGGCTTTGTTTGATTAGAAATTTATAATAATTCATTTAATAATGATTATGAACAATTTTCCAGTGTAAAAAAAAAAATTCTGAAAAAAGATACAATTTTAATAATTTTCTTTTCATATTTAAATAATAGTTAATTACTTTCATATTCAAACGAAAGTAGATTTGTTAACTGTGATTTTTTGTCCTATCAGTTTTGTGACTTTCCGTCCATGTACCATTGTCAACAAATGGTTTTCAATGAGAGACAAATATGTCTATATATACAATAAATTGAATATATTTATATGAAATATTCACTGACTATCCTTCATGCATATATGTATTCAGTAACATAAACTCATATTTATCAATAAGTAGAACAGCAGCTTTTGCATTGTGTTTTATAAAATGATGTTTGGATTTTAAATCATGAATTTAACCACAATATCCCTTAATCATGTTAATATTTATTTATGTATAAAAATGCTTCTATACTTTTATCTAAATCAACAAATGTAAGTCCTTATATTTTACCATTCTAGTCATCTTGCATATACAAAAGGATAGAAGCTTATCAATTTTGGGATCAATAGATCAAAGGTCAAGGTCACTCTTACTAAAAAAAGAGAACAATTTTGAAAAAGTGTTTCTAGATGGTAACTTGAGCATCTTGAATAGTATTTAAAATGTTAATTCAATAAATTTGTAGGTCGAGTAGTATCAGTTGACATTGTAAAATTTTGACTTGTTTGCCTTAAGAAAAGACATAGGGCGCTGATGTAAGCTTTGTTGAATTCATGAAAGAATTGTCACATTGACATATCGAAGTAAATAGTTATCCAAGTAAGAGTTGTGTTTTATTAGACTTGAATATGTTGATAAAACCCCAAAGTGAAGGGTATTCACAGGATTATAAATATTATGACATGTTATACCCTTTTTGGTATGCTTTTATTGTTGGTTGCTGTCTAATTAATGATTTTTCCACATCTAATTCATTCATATGAACATGAATATTCATAAATTCCTTTATTTACCTACATACATATATATAAAAAGTAACAAAAGTCAGGAATTGAAAATAATTCTTAAAGTTTTTAATTTATTTAATGCTGATTAAAAAGACACTAGATGAACCTGATGAATGACATAAAGTCTTGCATCATTTTATCATAACTAACAAAATCCCATTATACCCATAACTGTCAATTAACTGTCTTCAATGTTAATTTTTCATCGCCTGATCATTCTTAACTTAACATGTCACAAGATCTCCATCCCAATACAGGATAATTGAACAACTTAGTTACTTCCTCACTTCTCCTTTCATTCATTCATTTCCTTATCTTTCAGTAAATAATTTTAAGTTCTTAATATTTAGGTAATTTATAAGTGCTAATTAAGTAAGTAATTAAAATATTTATTGATGATTTTTTAAATTCATATTGAATTAAAAAGACATCTTCATTACATGTAGTTTGGCATCTGTTCTTTGTTCACCCCCAGAATGACATCCCACCCATAACTGTCCCTTGGTATCAATATCCAGTGAGTATGGATATATAATCCCCTGATCCTTCATAACTTTACATGTCAGTAGATCTCCCTCCCCTGACAAGACATGTAATGCATGGTTGTTAACATCACTCACTATAACATGACCTTCTGATGTTGTTACTATATCTCTTGGATGAAATAGTTTATCCCCTGAATTAACCTGAGGCAGTCCCTGATAGGTCCACTTAACTTGTCCCTCCCTGTCTATAACCACCACCCTCTCATCAATGGATGTACTATCTATAACCAGTATGTCATTGTTAACATTAGATGTAATTATAATAGGGACAGTAAATAATCTCTGTTTATGTTTATCATACTCATATGATTGTTTTTGTTTCCCATCCATCCCAAAGATTATAACTTTCCTACAACTTTTGTTTGTTGGGTTGTATGAATCACCCCTCTCCTTAACACCCAATATAATCTCATTATGTTTAGTGACATGTATACCGCGTGTTAACAGTGGTGGCACAGACAGGAAAGGTTTGATTTCTCCTGTCTTTGTTGTTAACAGACTGACATCAGAACTGCCAAACAAAGACAGGAGAACATCATTATTGTCTGTCAGTGACATGTCATAAACCTGAACTGAAATCTCTTTAACAGTTTTGATTGTATCATCAATGTTAATTTTACACAGAGTAGATTTACTAAAATTAGAAATCCATGCTGTTGTGTCATCCTGTATTAACACTCTATTCACGGTGATCAAATCTGTAGTATAACTGTTAATTACATCTAAGTTCACTTTTGGCAATCCCTTTGGTAGCTTAGTTTTTTGAAGTGATCCAAATAAGTTGGAAATGGTCTTCAAATTTTCCTTTGTAGGAAAGAAATCTTTTGTTTCCCCAGGAAAGGCCTTAAAAGATGCATTTGGAATTTCTTTTTCACTGAATTCTGGATAAGTACTGAACACTTTAGCTGCTTGATTTGAATCTAATATTTCTTGTATATTGCTTTGCTTATTAAGTAAATTTTCTTTCACTTCTGCAATATTCTTCTCTTTTTCTGTGATAGATTTTTCTATTCTTTGCTTTTCACTTTCCAGTTGTTCTCTAAGTGCTTTAGCATATTTTCTGACTTCATCTATGATCAACTTTTCTTGTTGATTAATTTTCTGAACAGATTCAGAGAAAAATTGTTCATATTTGGTTTTAAAATCAATAACTTTACTGTCTTCAATTTTACAAAGTGTAAATGTGTTAGAAAATCTAGATTCTAGTTCTTTTAGTTCTCTCCTTTTTTCATTGCACACTTTATCAATTGAATCTAGGTCATGTTTTTTGTGTGAATCAGTTATACATTCTGGACATACTAAGTTGTCACATGTTCTGCAAAACATGCAATTCAACTTCCTCTTGTGAATCTGACAGGGAATATTGTCAGTAATAATGGTATGTTCCATTTCTTGTTTCGCTTCTGAACTTTTGACATCAACAATGTCATGCTTGATTGATGTTTGAACTTTTAAATGAATTTTCTTACATTTTTCGCACATGAGTGTATTACATTGTACACATCTCCATTTAATGTTTGTGTCAGTTTCACACAACTCACAAGGTTTAGGAACTTGGGCTCGCTTTATGGATTGGGAAAATGGCATCTTGATTTAAAATAGCCCCTGCAAAATACATAAAAGATATTTTATTTTGATGTGAAATTGTGAAAATATTTTTTTTTCATGAATTATTGATATTCA